AAAATTTCATTTATTCTGAGACCTGCTTTTTAAGTTTTCAGCCACATGTGTTCTTATAAATGAGCTAAAATTTATCTAAAACAGTTTGTGAATATTTCCTAGTGATATACCTGGCATTTGCCATGGAATTTGATTCATTGAAAAGAAAGTGGTCCTATGGTCTGGTGTAAATTTAATCAGTAAAACACTCAACAGCAAAAGTTCCAAGGTGGTACTCCCATAAGGTCATAGGCCTTTGGTGTTATTTAATTTTTCCAAGATAGAAGTTTGATATGTCCTCCATGGTTCAAGAACTTTACACTAAAATCAAAATGAGGTGTGCTGGGACATTTGGATTCTCTTCAAGTGAAAACTCCCTCACTGAATGATAAATTAGCAAATGTCAGCTTATATAAAAACAAGTTTCTCACAGTCTCACAAACATTAATGCATCTGATAAAGCAGAAAGGGAAAGTTTGCCTTCTTGGAGATGGGCTTTAGATAATGACTGTCCCTTTCATTTCAATGACTCTGGGTTTTACAATGCACTTTCATTGGTTGTTCTGGTTAAAAATGGGCCCTAATGATGACAAATATACATTACCAATTTTTAGAAGAGGGAATGGTTGCTTATAATAGTAGTAATTTGCCTAGTATCGGTAGCAAGTACATGGAGGAACTCGAATCTTTTTCAATGAGATCTCAAGAGAAGAATATATATTCACCTGAATTGAAACTATTCAATGCTCAATTCAACTAAACTACCTTTATATACATCCTCTACAATTTTTTTAAATTTTCAAAGAATTCTATGTTGGGTTAAACTGCCTGAAGTAGAGATAATTTCAGAGACTGGGATATTGTAATCAATGCCATGTCCAATAGTATAGGTATTTTAAAAGCATGACACTCAATAACTACTTTTTTTACTGTGCTTTAGAACAGAACTTCTCAAATTTTAAGGCCTACACATCTCTAGGGGATCTTGTGAAAATGCAGATTCAGATATAGTAGGTCTGGGGCAGGGCACAAATTTCTGCATTTCTAGCAAACTTCCAGGTGATGAAATTGCTGCTGGCCTATGGACCACACTTTGAGTAGCAAGGCTCTGGACCCCTAGTGCACACATCATAGAATCACCTGGACGGCTTCTGAAAGCACAGATTGCTGGGCCCCACCACCAGAGTCTCTGATTCAGTTAGGTCTGGGGTAGACCCAAGATTTATATTTCTAACAAGTTTATAGTGATGCTGATGCTGCTGATCAGAGACCCCAGACTAAGAACCATCTCTCTGGAGCCGACATCTGTCTCACCCAAGAATGTAGCTCTCCCGAGATGAAAGCCAATAATTCCATCCACTCTAAAATGTCAGTGCAATCACAGGAACCTGGGAAAGACTCCAGGAGAAATGCTCTTCTCTGGGAACTGTCCAGAGTGATTTGTGATTGATTGCCATAATCTCTGCAAAATGATTTGGCTTAATTAATTTGGAAGATACAGTCCCACAAGATGAATGTAAAGGGTGGTTTGTCTATGTTCTCTTTAAGGGAGAAAGCTATGATTTCCCACTGGTTTCTTTGGAGAACATATCAAAATAATCCTAATAAGTTAAAGTTTGTAAGGGTGTTTACATATGCTAACACACATATAAAACAGCACAGCTATGTCATTTCAAATCTTTGAAAATCCTTGCAACTCTAAATAAACTGTTTTGCTTTCTAAATAAACAAATTATGAGTTAAACACATATCCTCTAACCAGAAATAACAGAAAAGAGCAGCCTATTCATTCATTTACACATTAATTGATTGAGTCATTCATTCATTCAAATATTTTTTTTCTTATTTCAGTATAACATTTAAGTAATAGTGTGTATTGATTATGTGTGAACAGGAAGCAAAATTTCACACAAAATTCAATTTTCCAGCTTTTCAACATTCTATGAATGTTATTTTAATACACTGTGTTAGTCACCATGCTGGGCACTTTATATAAATATAAATGAGATGAGAAAACCCTGTGCTCTCAAAGGACTTACTGTCTGGAGGAAGAGACCAATACGAGTAAAAATTCACACATGTACATATAAACTACAGCTGTCACAATGTTTCAACAAAGAGATGCTCTGTGGATACTATTTCTTTATGTGATGACACACCATCCTGTGTCAAGAATAAACTAGATCTTGCTGGGCATTAATTGCAACTAAAATCAAAATCATTTAACTTGGTAAGTATTAATCAAGAAACTTAAAAACAGGGGTCAACAAATTAATTTATTCAACTCCTTTAATTATCTTTTTACTTATCCACTTGTATTTTATATTCAAGGTATAGCTGTTCATTTTAGAATTTAAGGGTATAAATATTGTTTAATAAAACCATAGCTTAATAAAAACTAATTTGAAAGGATACACATATACACGCCTATGTGACTGTAGCACTATTTACAATAGCTGAGTTATGGAAATAGCCTAAGTGCCCAACGATGGATGAGCACATTAAGAAAATGTGGTGTACATGGAATACTGCAGCTATAAAGAAATGAAATTTTGCCAGTATGACAACATGGATACAACTGGAGGATATTATGCTAAGTGAAATGAATCAGAAGGAGAAAGACAAATGCAAAATGATTTCACTCATATGTGAAATATAAAGAAAGTAAGCAAAGGAACAGACAAAACTAAACCAAAATAAATGCTAACAATCTGAATGCAGAGTTGAAGCTACCAGAGGTCGAGAGTGGGTACAAGGGGTGGGGAGCACAATGGACTATGGTAGAGTATGTAGACATATATTCCTAAAACATTTACAGTGTTGTAAACCAGTATTACCTCAATAAAAAAAATATAATTTAAATAAAGCATGGCCAAGTTAAAAGATAGTCTAATAGCCATGTGTTGAAGAAAAAAATGTAATACTCCCATTTGACCACTAGAGGGAGGAGACCTACTTCTGATGTGATTCGTTCTGCACATTTTTCTCACCCAGCTAAGTAAAATCTAGTGCAACTAAAGTACTGTCTTCTGAACCTTCTTTCCTTGAAATTTGATTCACTCCTTGGTGTCTCTCAGTTAAATTGGGTAAACTTAAATGTCTAGTTCTAATTCTATCCCAATTTCCATTATTATGCAAAAATTACTGCTTTTTTTGTTCAAACTCATAAATAAAAAATAATGTTTGTAAAAAGCCCAGGAAGAAATAAAGTTGCAAGTATTAACTTCCAATGATTCTTCAGTGGAACAAGAAATTTGGTTTTTGCATTTCAGCTCACATAGTCATACAGTGGGAATTATCAGTCTTTCAATCATGATAATCAAAAAGTTCTTGTATTGCATATATAGATTCTTTGTTGTTTGTTTAGCTCTTGTAATTTTAAATAACTCATTTAACTTTTTATACATGAATGCCTTATCAGTGAAACAATAAGCCCTTTATAAATTGTGTTTACATTTATACAGCTCTGTATCTCAGCTGCAAATTAAATTACTGTTGCAATTTCTTTAATTGTTATTATTGTCAGAAAATACACAGTGAAATAGTGCAGTAAAAAGATAGGCAACTTTAGGTTCTAACATGCTCCAAACACCTGTCCTGCGTGTAAATGTGTAGCCTGTAGCAAGTTGCATGACCTTTAATAAGGTCGTTAGAAAAAAAAACCTGTAATAATAACTGATTTCTCTGTTTTATAATTAAGTGGTCCTGCAGCCTACCAGCCACGCAGCTATAAAACAAGTGCCTAACAGTCACCTCCTGCTGCTTCTCGTACTAATCTCCATGAGAGAAATGCCCACTGAATGGGTATATACTGACCTTAGCAAAATATTTTAAACAATTAGACTGATATATTTGCAATTATAGAGTCTAACTAAAATAAAACATTAAATTTGTTTCCAGAAAATCAAGAGACCCCTGATAAATGTCGTGCTACATGAGGACCCCCAAGTTCCTTACCCTGGTATTCAATATCCTCCTTACCTGCTCTCTTTTCTCTGCCTCTGTTCCATCACTGGGGTAATAAGGTGGGGAGTGGTGAGTCACAGGCCAGATGCCCCCAGGAAACCTGAATTTCCAACACAACCCTCTTATTTCAGCTTTGTTGTGGGTGCAGAACTCATCCTCACACAGTTCCAGGATTCCAGGCAAGCCCTGTTCCTCCAAGCAGAAAGAACAAATCTGTGCATTGTAGGCCAGATGCAGTCTGGAGATGTGCTTTGTGTGGCTTGTCCATGATTTGAAAATGGGAGATTTCATGCAAAAGTCAATTTTCCAGCTTTTCTAGAGCCTGGGCAGCACTAGACTGAAAGTGAGTGTTGGCCACCTCCTCCTCAAGATCTCCCCCTCCAGTTCTGAGCACAGCCCACTTTGCCCTTCTGCATTCAGTCTAGTCCACTTGCCCATTTCCATGAAGTGCCTACTAACATGCCCTATAACTGGTGCCCTCTAAAGTTGGGAGATGCACCCCACCTTGCCAGGAGGCATCTCTAGGTGTGACCCCCTACTCTAAGAATTTCTCCAAAGCTTAGCTCAAAATCCAGCACCAAACCTTGGTGATATCCCTCTCCTCACTAGTAACTATAAAATGTTTGCACATACATTTGCTCAACATTTATCTGCTTAAAAGAAATATTTCTGAAAAAAAAAAGAAACATTTCTGAATTTATGCATTGGACAGTTTCTCAAAGGTTGAAGCTTTGTCTTATTTATCCTTGACGCAGTGCTCTTTCTGACAGTCCCTGTATTTCAGTCGCTCTGTGCAACACAAATACATTTCCTTTATGATATTGTAATTTCACAAACATCTGTCATTTCCAGGTCTTCTCAACATCTCCCACAAACTCAAACTTTTACAGGTGTGAGGCAGGTAAAACCTAAATGAGCAGAGGGGGAACAGTCCTGAAGGGAAATGAAACACTCCAATGTGGTCCAAAGTAGGAGTGCAAATTCAGTGTTGCTAAGTGTGATTTCTCAAGATAAGTCAGAAATGTGGAAAATGATAATGATGCTTGTGATTTTAGGCTGAACCTGGAGAAACACCATCAGAAGCTCCAAGCGAAGCCAGGACAGCCCCAGCTGAAAATGGAGTGAATCACACCACATCCTTGACCCCCAAACCACCCTCTCAGGCACTCCACAGCCAGCCCACTCCAGGTAAACCCTAAGTAAAGAGCTGGACAGCAAGGCCCTGGCTCCAGATTCTTTGTGCCACTGAAGGTGGTGGTATGATTTAGTTAGCTAAAGCATCATGTGAGCAAGGATGCATAGACTTTGGAGACACTCCAGAAATGGGAGACGTAGAAAGGGTGGGAATGGGGAGAAAGCAGGGAAGGAATTCCAACAGAGACATATAAGTGATCATCTGGCTCTGCTGAAAACTTACGAAGCCACAACAGAATATCACCAAGATTTCTCGTGTCTTTACTTAGTGACGGTTTCTGATCTATTAATATTTACTGGTAGAGTTCTCCAAGCAACTTATAAATGTCTATGCTTTGAAAAGCACATTCTTAGTTCTAAGATAAATCTCTGCAAAGAATTCCTTTCCCATTTTTCCCAACTTGTCCATAAACGTGTCTACATGTGCTAAGTGCTTTCCTAAGCCCTGCATGGGGAGTATCTCATTTCACCTTCATCGCAGACGAGGAGATGCTGTTATTGTCCCCACTGGACAGATAAATAAACTGCTGTTTTGAGATGATGAATTACTAATTGAAGGTCACATATAGAATAAAGCCAGGACTGACCCAGTACTTAATGATCCTAAAATTCTTGCTTTTAGCTTCTGTGTTGCTACAAAAGCTAGACTGGTGTCACATCTTAGAAAAATCTTTTGATTTTTGTGCAGCTAATTTTCATTCAGACACTTAATTTAAAACTCCTTAGTGCCCATACCTGAGGGGAGATATCCTGTCTTGTGCAAAAATAATCAAGGATGTTATTTAAACATCCTTTTTAAAAAAGTTGTGTAACTAGCTCTTATACATGTCCCTTTTCTCCAATAGATGGCTTCCCAGGACAGGTTTCATTTTTATCCTTCTTTTATAGAGAGCTAAGGAATAACACACACTTGTACCTTTTGTTGAATTGGATAATGAAGCAAATAAAAGGGAAAATAATTTCCTTCATGAAAGTGTGGCTTCATGTTGCCTCCCTTCCTTGCTGCACTCCTGTGTGTCAGACCTTTCATTTGCAAGGAAAGGGGTGTTTCTTCTGGGTAAGACTGAGCTTTTAAAAAGAACAAACTATATTTACTCTTTAAAGATTTATTTTATTTATGCATACAAGAACTAGGGTGCAGGCCAGAGGTGCAGGAGGGGTAGGGATGAGAGGATTCACCAAAGACAGAGTGGGGCACAGAACAGTCAGATCTACTGAAATACACTGCTGAGGGGTATGGATAAGAAAGAGAGGTATGCTGCGCCATGTGGGTAGCTCCCTGACCCAGGATCGAACTTGTGCTATGGTGGCAGTCCATGGCTTCATAGTGCTGAGACTTAACCCCTTGTGCCACCAAGGAGACCCAGAACAAATTATATTTAATTACTATCAAGTGTGCATGGATCAGAGCCTATGCTTTTAAGAAGGTTTGAAGATCAGTAATAGTAAGGAGGTGACTTGATCTTAAAAACAAAGTAATATTTTTAATTGAAGATTTTCTATACCAGCACAAGCATTTTGCATGCTTCTGGAATATAAATGTCATCCAAATATGTAATTCTAGTCTTGTGCTTCTGAAAGTAAAAGAGAAATTAGCATTTTATTGTTTTGACCTTGATGTTTTGAAGTAATTTGATGACTTACAAAATCATTTTTTAAATGGCCCAGAATTCATTGCAGATATGGTTTCCTTGTCCTCTAAAAGTTGACATCAGAATTATGGTGCAATTATCAGACCAGGAAATTAACATTGGCACAACACTTGGAACTTACCTACAGACTTTGTTTGGACATGACCTGATTTCCACTAATGTCCATTTATTGCCACACATTCCTATTCCTGATTTCCACGTTGTATTTAATTGTCATGTCTCCTTAATCTCCTTTGCTCTGTGATAGTCCCACAGTCTATCCTGCCTTTCGGACCTTGATGCACAGTACTGGTCAGTTATTTTATAGATGTTCATCAGTGTGTTTTGGCCTCATATTTTCTCATGATTACACTTAAGTTTTGAGAAAGAACATTGCAGAAACATGTGCCCTTCTCAGTGTATAATATCAGGGGACATGATGTTGTTAAGTCTCATCATTGGTGATGCTGAATCTCTTGGTTAAGGTGGTGTTTGCTCTAAAAGATGATTTTCCTCTTTATAATTAATAAATTTGAGGGGGATACTTGGAAACTATGTAAAAATCCTCTTCCCCCTTAAGCTTTTGCCCATTGATTTCTGGCGCCCTCTACTGGATCTTGCCTCCAACAATTATTACTCACTACTAGTCAGCATTTGATTTTTTTTAAAGATTTTTTTTATGTATTTATGCATTCAAGAACTGAGGTCTAGGACAGAGGTGGGGTCTAGGACAGAGGATTCACCAGAGACAGAGTGGGGAGCAGAACAGGTGGATCTACTGAAATACACCACTGAGGGGAGCAGCAAGTGAGACAGGAGAGGTCGGCTGCGCCATATGGGTTAGCTGCCTGGCTGGGGATCGAACTCCCGCTGCAATGGCTGGTGATAGCTTGATAGAGCTGAGACTTTAACCTCTGTGCCACCAGGGAGGCCCAGCATTTGATTTTTAAGATTCCACTTGCTATACCCAATTTTGCCAAAAGGTGGCAATAACACTGCTTACACTGAATTTGTTGATTTTGATTCAGTGTTATCTGTCCTCTCTACAAATGAAACATATAGTTTCACATTTAATTAAGTTGGCCTCAAAGTTACAAAATAAAGACACATCTTTAAATAATTTTAGAACACAGCCTCCCTGATGGCGCAAGGGGTTAAGACGCAGCACTATGAGGCTGCCCGCAGGCACTGCAGCAGGAGTTCAATCACCAGCAGCCACGGGACTGCCCACATGGCACAGCAGACCTCTCCTGACTCACCTGCTACTCCTCTCAGCAGTGTGTTTCAGTCAATCTTCCTGTTCTGTTCCCCACTTTGTCTCTGGTGGGTCCTCTCACCCCCCCGCACCTCTGGCTGTACCCCAGTTCTTATATGCATGCATAAATAAATCTTTAAAAAAAATAAATAATTTTAGAACAATTTTCTTCCAGAATTTGTCATTTCTCCAAAAAGTGACTTGGACTCCGGGGCCAAATGGTGTTTTATAGAGAGAAAAAAAGTAATAACTTAAAAAAGACTGTTTTATCTTTTTATTTCAGGTTCTGTAAAGGCACCTGCCAAAACAGAAGATCTTATTCAGAGTGTTTTAACAGGTAAATACCTTTCTTTCCCCCACACACCCACAGATTTAGACAGCTAAATATTACAAACTGTAAGAGTTTTCCATTCATCTCCAAAAAACCATTAATATATCTTCTCTAAGAAAATCTACAAATAGTCCCAGTTTAAGCCACTTTATACAATGTAATCACAGAGAAGTAACCATCCTTGGATAGGACCCTATTGCTATAAAAATAACAATGTCACAAGATACCTATTTTAAAATCAAAGAATAGCTTCACACTGGAACTGTGACCTGTGGAATAGGAATGTATGTCCCCAAAGTGCCAGCAATACACCGCATTTTAAAAATGAAGACTGTGCCTATAGAATACAGATACTTGAGAACTAGAATACAGTCTGAAAAAAAAAAAAATGATACTTGCTTAATACCATAAACTAATGGGACCTAAATTGGTACAAACTTTCATTAACACAATTAACAGGATATAGTGGAATCTTAAAAAGGGTTATGAATATTTAGCCCTATATACAACAGAAATGTATACATATGTTCAACAAAAGTAGCACTATTGGTAAGAGCCCAAAAGTGGAAGCTACCCAGATGTCCATAAATAGGAGAGTATAAATAAATTGTGGTATAGCCACAGAATAAAGTAGGAAACAGCTATAGAAATAAACTACAAATACACAAAACATGAGTAGAATTCATAAGCATAATGTTGACAAAAGAGGCCAGCCTCATTTAAAAAAAAATCATTTTTATGATTCCATCTGCATGAAGTTCTAAAACAGGCAAAACTAATGCATGCCTTTAGAAAAAACAGATTTGGGTTATATTTGATTGGGTACAGGAGCTCAAAAAGGGGATTCTTTCATGCTGGTAATGTTCTAATTTTCAACTGAGGGCTGGTTGTGGAAACATACTTTGTAAACATTTGCAGGAATGTATCTCAATGATTTATGTACCTTTATGCATGTAATTATATTTCACCAAAATACTACATAAAATATGCATAGGCAAATATACTTGAGAAATGTATTAAAATAAAGCAAAACATTTTTAAAGATTTAATTCCATGGAAAGCAATATAATGTTAATACAAGGGACAGACTATAAATAGAGCTTAATTTCAGTATATTTAAATATACACAATTACATGGTATCTTGTCTTACCAGTGATTCTCTCTGATGACTTGTTGAGTAATATTTCTTTTTATAAATAGACTATATCTTTCTGCTTAAGAGCAGATTCGAAGAATAATCTTTCATCCACAGACTTAAAAAAAAAGTCAGTACTTCTGTGAATTGTTTTTGATAATAGGTTAGAACATCTTGAACTTTCTTGCTAAACTTCCTGTAGATGGTGTGTTTGCACACACATTTTTAAAGAAGTTAGATTGAGTATGTCACCACAAATGCAGCAATTCCTTGAGATTATAAATTCTTAATATAATAACTTATTATGCAACCATAATGAGTCTATTTGGGCCTGAGGGAAACCATTAAATAAATGTATCTGATCCTTTCCCTGGCCTCTTTCTCAAAAGAAATTGAATGTGAGGAGAGTCAACACATTATGAAAAAAGGAAAGGATATTTCAATTGCATAAAGACCTTAGCATTTAAGAACATAAATTACTTTTCTGATTTAAATATTTATCCATCAGATATCTCATTTTCTCTTCACGTCTATTGTTATTCATGGCATATGTTATTTCTCGATCTTTTGATAGTTCTGAATACTTATGATAACTTATTTTTCTTCCCAGAAGCAGAAAGTTTGCATCAAAGGATAGAAACATGTGAACTATAACTTCATCTAGGTCCAAATAAATTATATTTCACTAACATGAAGACACAACTATTTTAAGGTGCTCCACTCTTCATGAATTGCTAAGAAAAGCCTGAACAGACTTAGACATTCCATTGACTATCTGGTGCATCTTAATTTCAAAATTATTATCATATAATTAATTTCAAATTATTATCATTATCAGTTTAAAAATGTATATTCTAGAATCAATGAAATAAGTCAGTTAAATACAGAATATCTTATGGTCAAGCTTGTTACTTTAAAATTTTTCTCAGAATTGGATAAAATTCTATGTAGAAATGTTAGCTGCCACTGACCCCATGGTGCCTGTGGATGAATCACATCAAGGGACCATCTCTCACTTTACTGCTTTCTATGCAACATTGAGACAGTTACACAAACCCACAATGACTAATGTCCCTTAGCGATGCGCCGCGGGACCCACAGAGCTTGTGAAGCTTCTACAGACACTGCTAGAAACTGTGTTAAGTCCTCTGCCTGAATACTTATATTTCATTCTCATAACAACCTAAATGTAGTAGAAATATTATTATTCTTTTTTTTTTTTTAAAGATTTATTTATTTATTTAACTTATTTATTTATTCGTTTATGCAAGCACTGGGTACAGTCAGAAGCGCGGGAGGGTGAGAGAATTCACCAGAGCCAGAGCGGGGAGCAGAGCAGGCAGAAGGACCGAGGCACACTGCTGAGGGGAGCAGCGGGCGGCAGGGGAGGTCTGCACGCCATGTGGGACCCTCCTCCGGTGGCCGGGGAGCAGCCGGGGATTGAACCAGCGCCGTGGAGGCCGCGGGCAGCTTCGCAACCCAGCGCTCAACTGCTGCGCCACCAGGGGAGGCCCAGAAATATTATTATTCTTAAGGCAGATCCTGTTTGCGTCCACCCATGTCCCTTTTACCATCCGGTGCACCCATCTGTCACCTTTGGTGAGTGCTGGCTGCTTAAAGCTCATGGATAGCTTTCCAGTTTCTTGACAATGACCACCAGCTTAAAGGAATCTCCATCCCTCTCCTGGAGTTTATGCCCCTCACTACCCCCGCACTGATTTTCTGAAATACTCAACACACTGACCATCTTGCCTCTTGACAAGACAGTTATAATTTTAAGCTCCAGAGCTCCTTGTGGGCTCAAGCCATGCCCACATTCCTACCCTTCTCTTTCTGATGCCCTCACTATCCACCTCCTGAGAGCCCCCTCAGTAAGTTACATGCACCTGAATCCCCATTTTGGACTTTGGTTCTCAAGAACAACAAAACATACAATGAAGGAACTGAATCTTTGGGAAATTTGGTAATATAGTGGCAAAGTTCCCAAGTAACAGAGCCCAGACTAGAACTCAGACTGGTTTGACATCAAAGCTCTGCTCTTAAGTTCCAGTTGACTAGGGCCAGACAAATGCTGAATATGCAGGTTGCCGCTTCTCTGTACCTCTGCACTTTCGGTCCTTCCGTGTCTGTTAGCTCTTGTACTCATCTGTTGCAGAAGTGGAAGCACAAACTATTGAAGAGCTAAAGCAACAGAAATCGTTTGTGAAACTTCAAAAGAAGCACTACAAAGAAATGAAAGACCTGGTTAAGAGACACCACAAGAAAACCACAGACCTTATCAAAGAACACACTACAAAATATAATGAGATTCAGAACGACTACTTGAGAAGGAGGGCAGCTTTGGAAAAGACAGCCAAGAAGGATAGTAAGAAAAAGTAAGTTGAATGAGCAGTTTTTGTTTTATAGTATGAAGGAAAGGAGGCCTTTGCATGGGTTTTTGATATTGTGTACCATATTTTGGACCTAGGTCTCTGCAAAAAAGGAAAGCCACCCAAGTCTCTCCATGCCCCATTGGTCTTGTGTTGATTCAGTTTTGTTTGTGGATTGAATGTCTTTGACTAAATTCTTACACTAGGTCTGTTGGAGGTCCTGCTCTTGAGTTCTAGCCTCAGGCCAAATACCGGTTGACTGACTTCCCATATTAGAGCTGTCTACCTGGTGGGTATGGAATATTGCCCTGTACCTAGAAGCTAGTTGAAGAGTCAACTTGTCTTAGAGAAAAGGAATTCTTCATTATCCTTTGCTGTCCCATCTTAAACTCAAAAAGTCCTACACAGATAACTCTTGTGTTTGGTCTTAGGGGTCCCCACAACTCCATGTACCCAGACCTTGGTGGAGAGAAGCATCTCTCACACATTCATTCAACCAGAATTTGTTAAGGCCCACTGTGTATCCTGAGGACAGAGCAGTGACTCTGACCTACATAATTATCACCTTCAAGGAGCTTTAATTTGGGGAAGATGCAAAATAAAAAGAAATAAATATATAACATTGTTATGGGGACAATCAAGGAAAGAAAGGAACAGAGTATTGTGATAGTGAATGACTAGGGGTGGGTGAGCCCTTCTGACACCTCACACATTGATCTGAAAAGACCTCACTGATGAGGTGACATGAAGAATAAGGCATAGTCACCTATGCAAACAAATGGGAATTATTTCCTGCTAAAGGAGCAGTAAGTATAAAGGCTCTGAGAAAGAAAAAAGAGACTTGTTCTAAGAACAGAAAAGTTGGAAAAGTAAGTGAAACACTAAACCAGGAGAAGAATGCAACAAGATGAGGTCAAAGAAATAGATGGGAGAATTAGATCACTAATTTCTTCTGATGTGGAGCAAATGAGAAACAGTGGAGAATTTATTATAAGTATGATAATAGCCCACTGAAGAAAATTAAAAATTAAGTAGAACTGAAACAGTCCTTCCTATTAATATTCTCATAAAATGACTGTCACTGCTGTGATGAGGATGGATCCTTGAACAGTGATGCTCAAACACTTAAGTCCCCGGGGATCTTGTTTGATGCAGGTTCTGATTCCTCAGGTGTGGAGTGAGGCCTGAACTATACTAGGTGATGCTGAGTTGCTGGGCCCTGGTCCTCACGCTCAGTTAGGCAACCAGAATGGAATACTTTTTCACAAGTCCGTTTTAGTAATGAAGAAAGTTTGATCTAAGATGATGGTAGTAGAGAAGGAGTAAAGGAGATAGGTCCTTGACCTGTATTGAAGGTCAAATAGATCCAGAATCAGCAACAAAGAAAAGAGAAGTTCTGTTCTTCAGACCCTGCAATGCCCAGGTGTCTTCATGGACAATGAAACTCATGCTGTCACCTCAGGATAAATCTGTTCCTGGCACTCTAAGATCTAGACCTTCTCAAATCTTAGCATTCATAAGAATCACTTTGAGTGTTGCTACAACACAGTGTCTGGCCTTCACCCCAAAGTTTCAGGGGCTCAAGGGTCTACATTTCTAACAAGTTCCCAAGTGATGCTGATGCTGACAGGCACTAACCCTAGAGTCTTTCAGGGGCTCCCCAGAAACTGAACACTGGCTTAAAGGCCTCCTTTGGTCTAATGCCTGCTGTCCAAGAAGGGAACAGCACCAACATTCTCCCAATGTTGGTGTCTCTGTGTCCACATTGCAGTCTTCTTAGAAGGATGCCAGTCATTACATCAGGGCCCACGCTAATGCACAGTGATCTCATCTTGACTAATTACATATGCCACAACCTTAATTCCTAATAAGGTCATGGACTGAGATTCCAAAAAGGACATGAAGTCTGGGGTGGGGGCGGGAAGGAAGGGCACTATTCAATCAGTGCATGTACTAGACACTTACTTGCAGTATTCCATGGATTCTCTATAACAGCCCTTTGAATTAGAAACAATCATCACCAAAGTGAGGACCCGAGGCTCAGTGAGGCTGTGTGACCCGCTGGGAGCACGCCCCACCGGAGCTGAAGTCATAGTAGAGTCACGAGACCCACCAGAGATCCAGCTGCATCCTGGGATGTGGTAGGATGGAGCCTACATCTCCATAGTCTTGTCACGGCTTCTCAGACGTGACCCCTGTAGCCTTACAAAGGACTTAGATGCTCTTTGAGTATTTGTGCATCACAAAATGATACACTTCTGAAATAACAATGTCCAAATAAATTTGCTCAACTATCCCAAATTTTGTGAGATTTTTTTAGGGGGTTTAGACTCTCTCCTTCGAACATACCCTGTGAAGTATGAGCTTATTGACATGAATAGTATTTTGCAACACGAAGCTCTATGATTAAGTATTAATTGTTATGTAAAAATCTTTTCTCAGAGCTTAATACAAAGAAATGCAAAAGAAAATGCAGTTATTTTTAATTTTGCTATAACTCCTTGAGGGGACAAACAATTCTTGTTTTCCTCAAGATTTATTTTGCCCATCATAAAAAATGCTTTTAATTTTTAATTTTAGCTATTTAGGACTAGCAAAGCATTCTGTGAGTCATGTTCAAAAATCTTGGAACATTGACTCATACCATTTTAAAGATAAAATGTTTCCAGTAGTATTGAAAACTAAATAGTCTAGAAGTTACCTAATGTGTCAAAAAAAAAGCATCCTTTAGTTTCATTTCCTCATGTATAAATGAATTGTACTATAACAGAGGTGAGAAAATCCTTTTAAGTCATTTTAATCGTCACTCCACTTATTTTTCTAAAACTACAGTAAACAAATTACCCTTATCACCAGATATCTGATATTTCCTGGTTGGCAAACAAATGAACAAAATATGGTCAAAGACAATCCAATTATATTCACAGCTCCAGAAAATCATATGTGAAGTTAATTTGTGCAGATTTCTCAAAACTTCTGGAAACATCAGCAGCAGTTTTCTCAGTGAAGAGTCCTGGAGAGTTTGATTTATAATAATTGACCCTGAAAAATAAAGTTTAATTCTCTAAAAAATTTATAAATCACCTTAAACTATGTGAATGTGTAAGCTACCTGTCGTGAGCTAGGAATCAGATATAACCACATTACATTTTTCATTTTGTTTCCTTATTGATTAATCTTATTTTGATACCAGGCTGTAGAAAGAGCTAATAAGCATTTTTTCAGATCCATATTGTGACATAGGATTTAGAATATATGTAATTTAAAAGCATAATCATAGCCCAGCCCCTGAGTTCTAAAAAAAAACAACAGACTCACCATTTCTTAGAGCTGGAACAAGCTCTGAAGCCAGCGAGGTGAATTTTTGCCAGTCTGTCAAAGAAGATGAATTCTAAAGGCCTTAACATTTGCCCAGTTACACCACAGTTCAAGCAACACTTGGCCTGTAACTTCTCCTAATGTTTTACTTTAGTGATATGTATGTACCTGTTGTTTGTTTGTTTGTTTCTTTCTTTCTTTCTTAATTTATGTCGTGCTCTGCAAACTTCCAGTCTGCAAAGTTATCTGTAAACTTTCAGGTAACTTAGGATGCAAGACATGTATGACCAAAGGCTATAAGAGCCTTGCTTTCTGATACATATGGCTGCTGAGCCCTTTGAAAGTATTTCATCAATATTGAAATGCACTCTCAATATAAAATACACCAGAGTTTTCAGATTTCATTTAAGAAAGTGAAGAATATAAAGTAGCTCATGTATTTATGTGGGCCTCACTGGTTCTATTTTAAATATATGTTGAAATGACAATATTTTGGCTGTATTAGGTTAAATAGAATATATTGTTAAAATTCACTCCATTTATTCCCTTTTATTTTTAAGGCAACTACTAAAATTTTTAAATCAAATAGATGGCTCATGTTGTATTTCTACTGGACAGCACCAGTAATTTAATGTAATTTCTGTCCTTGAACATAGAATTTACCTCTTAGCTTCTGAGAAAAGGAAATATGGCTTAGGCAATTCTTCTTATCTGATTAGAGGGAACTTGCTTGCTTTTTCAAGAGAGACAAACATTTTCCAATATTAAATTACCAAAAGATTCATCTTGTGAATCTTATACAGGCAACAATTGGAAAGAAGTGATAATATGTTCAACTCTGTTTTTACAGAACATGTAGAAACATTGTCTCTTGATTATTTTTTATACTGTCTGTTAAAAAAAATAAAATATAAAAATCTCTAAGCATCTGGTATCCAAAGATACATCAGAGAAACACTTATTCAAGAGATAAAACCACTGAGGTCTAATTATATCCATCTTTCTCCCTTCCCTCATTATACACATTAAAATCCTAAAAATAGGGCCTCCCTTGTGTTGCAGGCAGTTGAGTGCCGCACTGTGAAGCTATTCGCAGCCTCTGCAGTGCAAGTTCGATCCCACATGGCACGGCAGATCTGTCCTGTCATGCCCGCTGCTCCCCTCAGCAGTGTGTTTCATCAGCCTGCCTGTTCTGTTCCCCACTCTGTCTCTGGTGAATCACCCTCCCACGCATCTGGCCTGTACCCCAGCTCTTGTATAAATAAAATAAAATCTTTAAAAAAAAATCCTGAAAATACCTCAGAGTAACAAGTGGATATTGTGCCTGTCAGCTTATTTTATTATTCATATCTCCATTGGCACAACTTCCCATGGAATGTAAACAAGAGTTATTCCAAGGTGATTTTTGTCAAGATGCAGTGATTCTGTGTTGCTGTAACTGCCCAAACCTCATCCTGCCACCACCACTCCACATTCCTGTCTTGGGGTGAGAACAGTGCTGCATCCCATACTGTGTCCTACTGCATCCCATACTTAAGCAAATAGTCTCACTGAACCTCATTTTCCTCTTATCTAAAATGAAGATGGTCACACCTACTTGTCGTGTTGTTGTGTAAGCCAAAGTAGACGGTGCCGAGCACATATTGAGTGGTCAATAAATGTTGACAGGTTGCCTCTGCTGTCGTGATTGTGGCCGATTGAAGAAACACCTTTATGTTCTGGCTATAATGACTTCCTGCTATAATAGCAGGTGTGTGTGTCTTCTGTTCATGCCAAGGTGGAAGCCACCTCTGCTGCCATATCCTGATAGTGAGAAATAGATGTTAATAAATGCTGCCTGATATTGATAAATTCTACCTTGCAACTGTGTCTCAGAGTCCATGAGCCTTGTAGAGTTTTGGTTCTCATTTGACATTGCATCAATAAAGCAAACAGAAACATCTGATGGAATTTTGCATTCCTTCTTTGACAAAGTGGGATCCTAACACCAGCATCAAACAACCACCTCTCCATGTGGCACCATGGATGCTGGCCTAATGCAAAAAGAAAGCTGCAGGAATTCATGCCAGGTGATTCTAAGAAACTTCCCACATATTCTGATTGACTGCAAGTGAAAACCATAAGGCAGTCTGATGGACTGAGTATCTTAGTGCTTTACTCTTTTTTCTCTAGAGATTTCCATATAAATAAAGAGAGCAGACTTGCCCTGGCTACCCTGTTCTCTAGATTGTCTCCTCCCCTCCTGTGTCTTACCAGGAGTAATAGAACAAAATCTGAAGAAATCACACCATATGTTTTAAAATAACAATTTGCTGATAATTTATTTATTTCAACATTAGTCCTGAACTTCTAAATACCATGATAATTCTCTGACTATGAATAAATCAAAGTCACCCTGCCTAGAGTAGACACTCAAAAAATATAGTGTTGCAGGGTAAGTAATTGTCAGACTTTTCTGCCCTCCCGCCATTAGGGTTGATGATGGATCCCTGCGATCCTGAATGCATGCCTGATGGCGGGCACCTGGAGTAGGGTGTGGGCATGCGTAGGTGGGATTCACCTGGGCTGAGGTGGGGCTTCTAAGGATGGCATCACAGAGTCGCCAGCAGAGAGAAGGAGAACACCAGAGAGCCCAGAAAAAGTGCAGACTTGCTGGGGGTTACGAGGCCTGCCAGCCTCCCGGCCCCCCGGCACTCCTGCCTGCTGCGTACCTGGTAAAATCACGACAAAACCCTGAAAAAGCCACCAAGGACTCCAGGACTCCTCCTTTATCTGTTTGCACAGGGTCATAGACGTCCTGTCCTGTGCCCCTCCTGCCACTACAAATGTACTAATTCATTCTTCTTTCTCTTGTAATCTAAGTATTTTTGAGCAAAGTACCATTTTGTGTAGTGGTATCAATGAAGTTGGCACAACCCCAAAGAAATTTACAAATGGTCCCCAATTTATGATGCTTCAGACTTACAATTTTTAGGCTTGATTATGATGCAAAGTGATAGCACTTAGTAGAAACCCCACTGGAATTTTGCCTTGTGCTCCTTCCCTATGTGAGCAGCAGAGTCCTCCTATGACCTGGGCTGCAGCAGTACCTCCAGGCAGCCGTGCAATTGTGAGAATAAAACCCTGATGATCCAAAGACTGGTTTTCCCTTTTCATTAAGTTGCAGGAGATAGCAACACTTTATTACAAAACAGGCTTTCTGTTAGATGATTGCCCAACTGTAATGTAAGTGCTCTGAGCACTTAGGGTCGATAAGGCTAAGTCATGGTGTTCAGTAGCTTAGGTGTATTAAATGTGTTTTGGACTTAAGATATTTCCAATTTAATATGGGTTTCTCTGGCGTAACTTTTCATAATCAAGGAAGATTTTCATAGCGTACTCTTGCTATTAAAAGATGTCAAAAGGCAGAACATGGCAGCTGGGAGGGTATCTGGCTTGTTGCTTCTGCACCAGCTCTTGGCTTTCCATCCACAGCCCAGCAGAGGCAAACTGTAGAGCCTCTTCTATTCCCTGACAGAATCCTGTCAACATGGACACAGTCTCCTGAAGTTGTTATAGGATAAACATAGCTGGGAATTATATATTATTAAAAAAAAAAGATGAAATCCATATTAGACATTGTTTCCGCCCAAAAGATCTGTCATTCTCCCCACCATTTCCTTTCTGCCTCAACCTCTTTCTGGTGCAACGTAGATTTCATCCACTTTCTGTGTTTGAAGTCTCTCTGCTACAAAACTTGTCCATGGGGTAACCTCTACTTCAAGTGGTTTATTGAAATATTCTTTCCAAAGGTGCTCTCCCTGGGGCATGCTCTGGAGAGCAAATCTTCTCCCCACCTTGCAATGCCCTGCATGTTCTCTGAGTCAAGCTCTGTGTCTTTGCAGATCGGAGCCCAGCAGCCCTGACCACGGCTCATCAACAATTGAGCAAGATCTTGCTGCCCTGGATGCTGAAATGACCCAAAAGTTAATAGATTTGAAGGACAAACAACAGCAGCAGCTGCTTAATCTTCGACAAGAACAGTATTACAGTGAAAAATACCAGAAGCGAGAACATATTAAACTGGTAAGCCCAAGAAACATGACTTATGTTTGTACAGCCAAAAACCTCTTTTCTAAGACAAAACTTTGATGCTGTTGGATAACCTTAAAGAGAGGCAGTGGCAGTTCTAGCTTGTACTTTCTTTAGCAAATAATCTTATTTTGATGCAAGGTCCACATTGCAAGTTATCTATAAATACAATCAAGGGCCTCCCAGGTGGCACAGTGGGTTGAGCGTCACGCTATGAAGCTATCCGCAGACTGCCGTGTGGGTTCGATTCCCGGCCAGCCAGGGAGAAACCCACATGGCGTGGCAGACCTCTCCTGTCTCGCCTGCTGCTCCCCACAGCAGTGTCTTCGGTCTGTCTGCCTGTTCTGCTCCCCGCTCTGTCTCTGGTGAATTCTCTCACCCTCCCACACCTCTCACTGTCCCCCACTTCTTGTATAAATAAATAAATCTTTTTTTAAAAAAGAAAGTAAGTTTTAAAAAAAATGCAATCAAAACCCAGCACTTGGCAGTTTAAAATCATCATTTCTTAGAACTGGAAATTGCCAACGCCACTTATTTTATAAACCCTACTTCTCCAGTCTTTATGTAGCTCCTCTCTGTCACAATAAGTCTGTTTTATTTGTTTTGCTCTCATTAACATATTTGGGGGTTATAATAATTTTGTGAGACCTTTGCAATCTCACGAGGAATTAGAAATCATCCATATCTGTTTTAAAAAATTAAGAACATGTTGTAAATGAATGTTTACCTTATTTTCATATACATGGATTTTGCAAAAACTAGGGGGAAATGCAGTCCACTCTCTTAAATTTGGAAAAGCCATATGGAGTGGTGTCTACCCAAATCCCGAGGCTCCCTATAAGAGAAAATGCCTTCATCTTCATTGATGATCAGTTTTGTTCTAGGGTCATGATACAATTTCAGTAAATAGATTAAATAAATACATCAATAAAGTAGCCTTGGATACAAGCTGTGCCAAAAACTAGTCAAGTTAATAGATAATAAAGCCATGTTTCCAGAGGAAATAGGATCTGAAAGGTGTGTGTATGGCCTATCCACTCTTTCACTGAAGGACTGCCCATCCATGTAAGAGAATAATGAAGCTGTTTCTGCTTGGAGGTGGGAAATCGTTGGGTGGTTAAGGAGAGACTGTGTAAGAGGTGCTTCTGTATTCTGTTGCTCTGGCGCTGATTCCCCCATCACACTACACAGTGAACCGGTCATTGTCACAAGAGGAGCTCATAAAAACTCAGATTGTACTCGATCAGTTCTTCTCAACTTAAGGATGTGTCAGAATCACCTGAAGAGCTGGTAAAAGCATGGATTGTTGGGTCCTACCCTAAATTTTGAATTCAACAGATCTCTTGTAGTTCTGGTGATGCTAATACTTCTGTCCCCAGGCCCCCACTTAGAGACCACTGCCTGTTGCCTAAAAGTAAGGCTCAGGATTCATTTTTGATGAGCTCCACCTGATTTTGATGAGCCCTCTGTTTTGTGAACTATGAACTAAGATCTCAGCAATGAAATGGATCAGCTATGGTTAGCAGGAAGATATTGTCTCAACAGACCTCAGGTCAAAATGAACTTTAATGGGAGATGATGGCTTTGGGACCCAGCTATAGGCACTCCTGACTTTCTCCAGTTCCTCACCATAAGACTCCAGAAAATAATGATAAACATTTAAAAAGCAGCCATCTATTGAGCACGCCATGGGGCCATACATGGTGCTAAGCCATCCAGAAGAACTGTAATTTAACCCTCAACCTTGTCACTCCATTTTGCAGTTTAAAGAAACTTACAGAGAAACATAGTGAGTTTTCCAAGCTTCTGTAACAAGAAGTGGGTGTAGTTGGGATTTGAACCTTGGCCCTATGGCTCTGGAGAACCTGCTTTATAACCACTGTACAGCTGCCTCCACTAATTCAGGCCAGTAGCCAAGGTTCTCACACAGAACACACAGCACCAGCCCCTTCATTTCAATGACCAGGATACTGTCCCTCTCTCTTTTTGTTGACAGAATTGTGTTTGCCCTACCATGCAACTCACTTATTTTAAATTACAGATCAATGACTTGAAAATGCTGCTGGTGGATTTGAGTTTCTGATAAAGCCTCAGTGCCTGTCCACCACACCTGTATGCACCTTTCTTAATAAAGATAAGACAAGCTACCTTGGATTTAGAACTAAACAAAGTTTATTTTATGGCCTTTGGGGAAGGCATCCACAATTTATACTGCATGCCTTTATCTATTTTGGGTAGATATTATCAGAACTTTCTCTCAACTCCATTGTAATAACCAGAAATTGTTCTTCCAGGAAATCTTTTGACAAAATGACACCCAGAAGTATAAATTATGCCTTTGGTTGTCGTTCTGAATTACCAACAGGCTCATTTAGACAAGTGGAAGTGTAATTAAAACCAAGGAGACCCTAGTTAAAGGGGAGCATTTGGGTAAGGAGAAAAATTAAGCAGGAGATATTTCATCTTTCAAAACTGCTTCAGGAATTCAATGCAAATGTGCTTTGCCTAAAGGGTCATGCATTTTAGATGCTGACACCCAAAGTTCAAGATCAAGAAAGATAGTGTCATCATTAAAATCCTTGTCAAATTTTCATTAAAAACTTAGTATTTGCAAAGCACTCTGATAAATACTGTAGATAAAGTTGACAAAGACATGGCCACCGCACATCCTGGGGGAGCATGTATTACAAACCAATCTGATGTCATGAGATTGATGAAATAATAAAGGTACCAGCAAATGGATATGAAAATACAGACATGGGAACAATATGGCTCACTCTACAAACTGTTAAACATTAACAATATTTTTGAGTTATTTGTTCCTATTATCATGGGAAGTACAAAATGCACATCAAACTTCACAGTCTCCTGCTTCAAAGAACTTTCCATACTTGCACAAATAAGGATCTTCATCCTTAAAGCTCTACAGGCAAATAATCCTGCAGTCTGGTTACTCAGTGTGGTCCCCAAATCAGGTAAAAGCTTAGATATGCAGCTACTCAGATCACACCCCAGCCCTGCTAACTCTTATTGTTTTTCTTTAGTCAAAATTTTATCTATTATTTTATTTTGTAGAGTTAATGTTGGTTTACAACACTGCATGTTTTAGGGATGCAGGTACATACCTCTTAAAAAATATGTTACCACACCATGTATACCACCAAAGTACCCATAATCATCTACCTTAGCTCATTCAGTCCTTTGAACTCCTTCTCCCTGTGTTCCCCAACACCCACCACCCTCATGCCCAGGTAGCCTCAGTTCTGTACTCAGGGTTCTAGGGATAATTTTGGTTAGTTTTATCTGTTCCTTCACTCTGTTTCTTTGGATTCCACACATGAGTAAAATCATATGGTGTTTGTCTTTGACCTTCTGATTTATTTTGTTTAGTATAATCCCCCCCAATTCCATCCATGTTGTTGCAAATGTTTATAGCTCCATAGTATTCCATTCATATATATATATATATATATGTGCGTATATACACATATACATACACACACATATCTTAATGCACTCATCTGTCATTGGTCAATTACAGTGGCATTTTAATAGGAGTCCCAGGTGACATGTTACACATGCAAGTTGAAGAAGTTTAGTTTTAGGACCTAGGGATACTTATATCACTCAAAATGCTTTTCAAATATACCTGAAGTTACTTTAGTTGCAATGGGAATTACAGAGTGCCCTCCATTAATCAATTTGATCATCAGTAGATAAATATGTTTTGTAGACAAAAGCAGGGCTTGTGGAAATCACTCCTATGATCTCCTGCCTATATTCACAAAAGAAAGTAAAAGGTTACTTTCAGGTAGAAGTGAGAGAAAATTAAGATGGAAGTTCCCTTTACCCATTCAGGTTGGTACAACCCTTAAAATCTTGAGGGTTATTGACCCCAGTTAAGGAAACCTATTCCAGGGAAGAATTATAGGCTTGGGGAATCCACTCTAACTCTTTTTTATGTTTTTCATCAACTGCCATAGGTTCACCCAGCATTTTGTTTATGTGATTAGAGTTAGGTTTTAATTTTAAAGTAACTTTGAGAAGTAATGAGAGGATTTATTTTATTTATTATTTATGCATACAAGAGGTGGAGGGTGTGTGTATGAGAGGATTCACCAGAGACAGACCTATTTCCAGCCATGGTGGCCTGAGTTTGATCCCTGAACAGGGAGCTGACCCACATGTTGCAGCAGACCTCTCCTGTCTGGCCCACTGCTCCCCTCAGCAGTGTATTCCAGTAGATCTGCCTGTTCATAATCACTCTTAATCAGCCCCACCAGTACATTCAAATCTTAAGACCCAGAGCCGAAGAAGGGGATTTTGGCTGATATGTAGGGCTGTTTCTCAGTTGGCAGCAGCCTTTGGCCTCCATCTTGTATGTCTCTTCTCCCTCCTTTTTAGTGGCTTAGAAAAAAGATTTCCTCATTTTATCTCACATTTGCCACACCCTTTATCTTCTGCAGAGCCTCTTCCCCCCTTTCTTATATTTTAAGTCTCACATGTTCCAGTCCCATTTATTTCTCCCTTTTTTCACATCATATTCTTCTGCCTGACCCACCTGTGGCTCAGGCCAACAACATATGGCCCATAGGCCTAAATTCCCCAATTCCCTGCCAATCCCAGGGGGATAAAACAGCATTTCACAGAAAGCTGGGTGAATGCTGATTAGCTATGAATGGAATGTCCATCAAGATGTGAACAGACTGAGGATCTAGAATCAAATTTCTGATTTCTGGCCACTGTTCCCCCAGTGAGTAGCTGTGAAACTTCAGTTTTTCCATCTGTCCCATGGAAATAAAGCTAATCCTCAATTCATTGAACTTTAAAAGAGGAATAGAGATAATGTGCACAAATCATTGTTTTTTACTGAAGGCCTTTTTTATTTTTTAATACATGAATTGGCTAGGAACTTGAGTTCAAATAAAAATGTGCAATGCAGTTTTTGACATCCTCTTGTAGCCTGAGGAAGCTTATTGTCTTCCTTTTGGTGA